CAGCGATGTGGATCGATACGAACTTAGGCGAGCTGATTTTCTCAGCGTTTTGTGAGTGTTAAGTTCTCCATTAGTTGGTTGTGCACTTCCTTTCCGCGGCATTTCTTTTCTGCAAAAGATCCTGATTTCCATTCTCTGGATTTTGACTCGGTTCTTCATCCATCCATTCTTCACCCATCCATCCTCTCTCTGCTCTTGTGTTTTCTAAGTTCGATAGCCCATAGTTTGCATACTCCTTGATTGGCTGTTTGACTCGATTAGATTCGACTCGTCGAAAAATATTGATTACTTACCAATTCGTTCTTCCGTGAAGCAATTCACGAAACGAGATAGGAAATATATTCCTGGCTGATATCGTTGTCTTGCATGAGGCAGCATTGTATTAAGTTGTCAATCCTCTCTGGATAAAGGATAGGTGACCCTGACCGGCTAGTGTTGATTGTTGGTCGCTTGAGCCGGATTTACATCGCAGAAATTCATCGACAGCATCGTTTGAAGAGTCCGTGATTACCATGCTAATAGTAATGCGTCCTTCCGTACCATTCTGCATATTCAGTTGTAATTAGTAATTAGTTCGGCAATATGCTGACCTCCAACTGATCGAGGATGATTATGATTTAACGGTTTTTGGTACAGGTTGTTTCTGTGACCATGAAATGCGGAATAGTCAACTTTTGGGATGTCGTTCTGTCACATATTCACAACTGGACGCTTTTCTTCTTTCATGAAGGTCATGTTATGGCACTGATCTCAGTTTTTTACTGTCAATCAGCGATGCAATTTCTTTCAAGTCAATATCTACCATGAAGTGCCCAGTATATCTTGTGATCTTTCATTTCGTTCCTACACGATGGTACTTGTTTGCCCACGTCAGATGAATGAAAAGCGAATTACTCTACACAGAGGCTCGGACCAATGATCTTTCAATTATGAGTTCGTCACTTCGACGATTGTTCAGTCCTAATCCCTGTAAGCAAGAAACTCGTCATGAATCTGACCATGGTTGATAACGGTAATGACGACGCTGGTTGTCGTTCACCATGTAATTGGATGGGCATGGAGAAGCGAGCGAGGAGGCCACTAGTCGCTTGTTCGAAAACCGATTGTAGTGAATCGAATCGACCGTCGTCGATTACCGTCGTCGTCTAGTTCAGTCGTTGATTTGATGCCATCGCTGAACCTAACCGATGGCTCATCGGTCGATTAATCACAAGAAGACGGCAATCAGGAAATGTCGCGTTCGAATCTCAGTCACGTCGCTCTGCTTGTCACCGTGCAGTAAAGCAAACCATTACTGCTGCCTGTAGAAAGAAAATGGCATCATTGTGCGTTGTAGTGACTATGTAGCTGGGGATGCTGTTATTAAACATAAAGCATTGCTTGTTGATGACATATAAACCAATATCAGAGCCATCTATCATGAACAGTAAAGGAGTTCGAAGTGTTTCTATGGCTAGGAACGTTGATTTCGTTGTTCTTCAGCAGTGACCAAGTTTCGTCCACGCTGTCTATTCGAGTCATGTTACAGATTTCCGCTTCATTAAAAGAGTGATGGCGTAGCAACGGCTAATTCAATTCCTAAACCGTTTTATCTCTGGTCTCTATGCACTGTTGCATCTTTGACTCATTACGTCCTCTTGAATCAGACAGTGCAAGACTTGCGCTCGACAGCTTATCGCCAATGGTCTTCGCTTTTTCAATCAAGCATTGTACACTCTTTCTTGCGATAGCATACGAGTAGTCCCAACTACTGAAACATCGTTCGTGAATAGCGCAAGGTAGCTGTAGCAGACAAAATGATGCATCTGACAATGCAGATACGCCGTGGCTTGCTTAAATGCCCCCGAGGCAACCAGAAACAAACGGATAGTGCAATATGCCATAAAATCTGGTTTTGGCAGAGTTATGCGCCACGGAATAACTGTGTTTCGATTTCGATGGTCAAAACTTAAAGGAACAAAAGGGGTGAATCGACTCGATGAAAGTTCGACATTGAGATCATTTGAGTAGTTACTCGCTTACAGACTTAAACGTTTTTCAGAATGAAAAAATAATGAAAAAACAATCAAATATATGTAACGACGTTAATCCAGAAGTAATTCATGCAAAGAATTTCGGCATGTTCGAGGGCATCAGAGGAATATTGTGAACCTTTATGAAAGGTGCGTAGATCAGATGATAAGAACAGTAAAAGACGTCACGTTAGCGATAGAGATGCAAGCATGCAGTGATCTCTTGAAACATCATCGTGTTCGACTGGATCACTTTCAGCAATCCTGTTCACAAGAAATTCAATCAGTGTTCGTACGCGAGTCACCGACCAACACATACAATGGGAGCACCGATATAATAGAAAACTTTTGGCCTGATTTGACAAATTTGCCGCAAGGAACGTTCTCATGTCGGAACGACTCACTAGCCTCAGACTTAATAGAAAACAGTACAATTTATTGAAGTATTTACTTGATGGCATATATACTTGGAGGAAGAGTATACCTTTACCAAGCTGTATGCAGTATATTGTCCAGAGGGGCGACATGACTACAAATTTTTGCAAGGTTAGCATCCCTTGGCATCTACGGGAGCGCCGTGTAAATGCCATGATATGACGACCGGAGGACTAAAGAGTTTTCCCTCATTTCTTGGCATCACCCGTCAAGCATCTTTGAAATCTTCGGTCCATGTAGTCAATCAGCTGTCGTCCTATCTTCAAGGTGTAGCAAGTGTTGTGTTATGAGTTGTTAATGTTTCCGGAATGAGACTAATGTTTATCCCAATGTTTCCATTGGTGGGGTAACTGAAATGCCCTTATTCTAGAAACTTTGTTCGTTTGCAAGATATGACAAACTCATTAATTCCCGCTCACAAGAGCTTTGTTAGCCGCGTTTCGCGTTCATGTCAAGCCGTCGTGGTTACCATAGCGGCCGTGCAGTATGCATTTCATTATGCCTCACCCTGTCACGTTGTTTTGATTCAGTGGTGCACTGTAAGAAGCATTCTAAATCAGAAGTTTCAATTTGACCAGTTCAAAGATCACTAGTCTAGGAGCACCTATACTTTTAATCATATTAAGTATCACTTCGTCAGGTACGCTTTCAGAAATGAAAACAGTCTATCAAGTCAGCTTTGAACGTCTGGATGAATGTGTTAATCTATCTAGCTTGAGAAATCGGTATAGACTTTAGTAACTTCATTAAAATAGTATGTACATAAACGATGTTCATAGGTTAACAGTTCCGACGTTCATGGGTTAACTACCACATAGTAGATGTTCAATTCCACTGGCAATCATAACATTTCGATTGTTGATACCAAATTTGCTCTATGTAAGCATACCGCCCCTTGCTTCTAATCGCTTATGGGAACCATTAAGCAAGCCATGGTTTTATGGTATTGGTCACACTTGCTGTGTATCGGATATAGGGCCGTCTCTTTGAGTTGTGCGGAACAAGGACGCGCTCCATCACTAAGTAGATCTTTCAATATCCGTAGGCCAATGTATATACAAAAGACTAAAATATTAATTAAAGCAATTTTAAACCTTTAAGGTAATATTTGATTTTGTGAAACTTGTCCATTCTCTTAGAAGATGATAAATTGCAGCTGTTGACGTCTCGTTAATCTTATCCTCTGTATATCAGATGGGCGGCACGCTGTTTTTCCGGCGAATGCCAACTTGTGTCTTGGCCTTCCCCTCTCTGTTGGGTATTTTTTCGTTAGCTGAAGTAGTTGTCGCGTTTCATAGGTTGCTATTCACCCTATTTTATTGCCTCGTGTTTCTGAGCTCATGACAAGCGTTTGCGATTTTCAAAGCAGTTAGTCTGAGCATACTCTTCCTTTTACGTTCGTTCATGTACCTCTACTCTGTACCGGCAGGAGGTGGAGGTTGTGATGCGGAAGTAGATCAGCGTTTAGGGCTAGCATCTGTGAACTTAGGCTGCTTTCTAAAGTGTTGTAAGACTGATCTATCCGGACAGCCTCGAAACAACCATTTTACGACGCCATAGTAAGATACTGAACATTTTTCAACGACGCTGCCGGCAAAACATTCTGAAAATGCGATAGTTACATCGAACGAAGGATGAAAAGATCTCGAGGACGACCGACCTGAGAATACTGTCTGAAGAAATCAGGGACCACCTTCTGTAACGGTTTGACAGAATCATCCGGAGAAAGGACGAAGATTTATCCAAAGCCATTCTCCTATGGGAAACAAGAAATGGCCGCAGGCGCGTTGGAGGCCAACATCGCAGCCTAAAACAGCTTGAGACGAGAAATAAGACTTTTGCCGTAGCAGCCAACATCGCCTAAATTACTGTGAGGAGCCAAAGCGTCAAAATTATCATTAATCTTTGTACCCGGTCCTTCATCCTGCACATCAGATGGCGATGGTAACAACGACAACATATTGCTCTTTGCCTGTTTCAACACGTATGTGTACCGAAGCTAATGCTGGAGAAGCCTAATGGCCTTCTCAATGGTCATGACCAAGTCTATTCCTCCTGTAATCTGTTCTCAGAAACCGGAAATAAACACAACAGTATGTCACCATACACTGAAGCCATGCAAGTGTTAATACGGTATTTCATGATTTTTTTGTTATAAATTTGTAAATGAAAGTTTACGCTTAAACTATATACAACATCCTTGAAATTAAACAGATGACAATTGAAGGATTACCGACAGCATAACTATATACAATGTAGATAACTTCGTACACAAACACCATATAAACGTTTTCTAGATCTTAAGTTAAATCGTTCGAAGTTTACATGTATTCTTTCGCGTTCGAAACTATTCGCTGAATTATTTACGTCCAGATGTATATCACTAACCATTAGAACTGAGGAATAGAAAATGTTAGATGGAGATGATCTCAGAGGATTTGCTTATCTACTTATGCATTATTTTCAGTTGATCCAAAAACAATCAGTAGCTTCAAAGTTATTTCGTTGTGAGGAACACGTGCCTCCACGTTTCGTCTTGTCCGCGCATAAGGCATGAGCAATGAACGGACGACGACAGAGGACGACAAGGAAGTGCAGAGATGCGTGAAATCCGTGTCGCTGTTCAACGTGGTGGGCGGTGGCGGTAAACGCGTGTTTGATACTGGTTCGCCGGTGTACGTTTTTGGTCAGCCGTCGATGGAGAAGATTTCCTACCCAGGTTTATTGGACGAGACCGGCGCCGAGGGTCCGCAAATGGCGCAGTACCCGACGGCCGCCGAAAGGAGTTCATGTCCATCGACGCAGCGAGTCATGTCCGGCGGCTCAGCGAAGTCCGGTTCTTCGACGACTTCCGCCAGCGAGATTTGCCGCATCTGTCACTGCGAGGCTGCACCTGAGGCTCCTCTAATTGCCCCCTGTTATTGCAGTGGTACTTTGAAATACGTGCATCAAAAGTGTCTGCAGCAGTGGATCAAGTCGTCACAGACCAAGGCGTGCGAAGTGTGTCGTTTCAGCTTTATCATGCAGACCAAAGTGAAACCCTTCAGGAAGGTAACATCATGTCTCTTTTCTCAGTTGTGTTTCAATATCTGCTCCCCCTTCCACGACTAATAATAACAACAGTGTTACTCTTTCGAGTAATGATTGTATAGATGCACTGACTGGCACATCCGTAACCCCTTGCCGGTGACAATTCGTCTCTCTGGCCCAATCAGAAACTCAAGTTACTGTTCTAAAATATACGGGAAACAACGATGTTCTTCGGATGGAATATCTTCCGCAGTGTGGAGCATCCATCTCATAGCTGCCCGCTGTTTTGGAGCTACATGGCTCTTTCACATATTTGGATAATGTGGCAGTTTTTGTATTGCGAACTGCCGCTACTAATATATTAGAGAAACCCCTGTACCTCCATACCTGATTTTCATACCCTATGGTTCCAGTTCATCTTTAGGCTGATTATTATGTCCTCGCTCATTTCTGTTATGCACAACAAGCGATGTTA